GATTTGTTATACTGGAAAGATAAGAAAAAAATCAGAAATCATGAGGTGCATCACATAAGTGAATTTAGCTAAGTCACCTATAATTAAAACAACAATAATTTATTAAAGAAAAAGAATGTTTTCACTCACATATCCCAGAGCACAGGAATTTACTTGTTTCTCAAGTTATACATGAAGATTGCCACATCTCACTATTCCCCATAAATTCAAATAGATTATTACCCTCAGCTGATACATCAGAACAAGTGTTTCAAACCGCATCAGACAAGTGTAAAAATTCACAGAGATTAATGAATTTAAGATTCAAAACAAGCAATATACCTTTGAATAAAATATATTTGAAGGGTTTTTTTATAAAGATGAGTTAATTTATTAGGCATATTTATCAATTGATTCCTGAAAAATTTATTGCTATTTTTAACTAGTAGAACCTTTTCTTTTTAATCAGTTCTTCCCCCCTAATATTGAATCAAAGCTGGAAAGAAAACTCCTCCCTAAGAAGGGTGTGATACCTAATGTCATAGCATACTAGTCCACCAAAGGGCTTTGCCCTGGTTAGGCTTCCTAGATACAAAATACAATTTTTTTCTAACTTTATAGAAGCAGGTAGTTAAATAAATACAATATTCTTTTTCTCTAAAGTTTGCTACCTGGCCATAAATATACAGGAGCCAGGAGTAGGAATTTCCATACTCAAAATTCATTGCAACTTTTTGGGTTTGACACAATGCTTTATCCTAATGGGCTTTTATCCCCCAAATACGTTTTAATTCAATAATAAATAACCATCAGCAGAACATGGATAATTACTGTAGAAACATTAGAAATGAAAATCTGCTATAACTGTCTCCACGTCAATGAAAACATTTGTTATTGAAGAGTAACTGATGCCTTGAGAGATTCCAATTGTTCACACATACTTTTAATCTGTGGCAATATAACTGTTACTAATGGAATCTCTGTGTGTAAGAAATTTAAATCACAAAGACAATTTAGAGACTTTAGGGTACATCAAAATTTACCCTTCTTTTTTAATATAAAGTCTTCTGGGCTTCTTACTTTGTTACTGTCCTTTCAGAGAGAATGTTTCTGATTCAAATCCATTTGCCACTGCTGAAGGTAAACCTATCCACTATTCTTTTTACCATATAGCAGAAGCATAGGAGCAAAACATCCTCTACCTCCAGCTTCTTCAGAGTCGGAACAGTGTATCCATTTTGCAATCTGTGGATTCTGTGGCTTTACTCAACAATTCCAAAATTGTTTTGGAGTCCTGTTTGGGGCTTTTTTATCTTCACAGTTCAACACAATGATATTTGGTACCACCACAGTTGTTTATGGATCTTTCCTCTTTCAATAAAAAGATGGTACACCTTTAATTCATCTCTTAGAGCTTTTACTCAGAACTGCCTAAATCTAAAAACCTATTTTTTTTCCCTTCTGCCCTTCCTTTTCCTGGTCAGAAAGCACACAGCTGATATTAACTGATGTTTTCTTCCCTCTACAAATATCCTTGGCATTTGACCCTGCTAATCCAGCTCCCCCTGGATCCCAGCAGAAAGTGTCCTGAGACAAGTCTTCAGAATGTTGCTCATCCTTTGGAGGGCAGCACTTTGCCATGCTGTCAGAGAAAGAATATTTTGATCATGAAAATGTGGGTCAGACCTCTTCACTGCTTTGGAAATGTTTCCAATCTAGTTCATTCAATAGAGAGGGACAAAAAAATATATGAGCCCCATAGGTGACATAAAATTTCTGAAGTCTGTGTAAGCTGTTCTACTGGGAACAGATCTGTTCTTCAAAAAAGTGATGAACATGAACATCACAATCAATGTCAAAATTTTTTAAATTCAATTTTATGTAAAAACCCCAAAATCCCACTAGTACTTCCCAAGTACCAGCCCACAGGACTCTTCCCTGTCACTGTTCTTCAAGCATTTTCAGCCTAGGTGAGTAACACAAATATGTCCAACTCAGCCCTAAAACCTTTCTGTGTTTTGAAAGGCTTTTTTTTGAGAAATTGATTCTCAGGATGTAGAATAATGTGGCTTTTGTCTGACACCAGTAGAATTTATTTCAAAGGAAAAACAGGTATGTAAGAGTTCCAGGAAACACATGACACTTCAGAAAAAAAGAAAAATTACATAGTCAAAGCTCAAAATTTTCTCTGAATAATATATTTAAACGAAAATTTTCAAAGAAATTAGAACAGAGGGTGGAAAGTTTTCTAGAGAATACCTCATTTCTTTCTCTCTGCACAATCTGTTTCCTTTCAGTGTAATATTTTCACCACAAATAGAAATAAGTACATATAAGTTCACCTTCAGCTATTAAATTCGACTTTTACAGTCCCTGGCATTTCTCCATTCTGTTGAAATCACTGCACAAGTCTTAGGCTAAAGTGGCAAAAAAACTCTTTTTAAATATTTCTTTTGGTTCTATTCCTTTCAACAACCTCAGTCAGACACAGAACAGAAATGGTGAAACTGTATTTCATGTAGTGGAAATTAGGCAATGCATTAAGAACATCTCTCTGAGTAGGTGATAATGGATTCCCATCATAGCTCTCAAAATTAGTCATCAAGTCACAATCTGAGGTCAAGTAAAGAGCTTTTCAAAGAAAATGAGCATGGACTGACAATTAATATATTCAGACTGGAAATATGAGAGTTCCTAATTATAAGAATGGCGAGAATTTCCTGAGCAATAACAGTGAAGTCAACAATCTACTTATTGCTGAGATAAAACCTAATTTTTGTAATCAGATTGGCCACAATAGCAAGTATTGATTGCCTGGATTTGGTGATCCAGTGGATTACTCTCAATATTTATTTTTCTACAAGATGATTTATTTGTTATGATTCTATGTATCTTCCCACAAAATTCCAGCAAGAGTAATGGGAAGGCTGCTGAATCCCACTGTAGAATATAGAGAAAAAGAAATTAATAAGAGGCCATTTTAAACCTATTTTCAGTTGACATTTTTGAGTGCTGCATAAAGCTTTATGTGAAAAAAGAACCCATGATTTTCCAAAACCAGAAAGCACTGTTCAATATCTTTTTATGAAAGACTAGATTTCCAAACCCTTATGCAGAATTAATTATAGCCCCTTATTATTTATAGAATATAATTTCTAAAATCAACATGAGCCTAATGTTGAACACCAAATGGTATTTTTGAGAAGCAGTCCAACTATGCTTCCAGTAACCAGTTGCATGTCTTTTAATTAGTTCTCATGATCAATTTTAATTAAAATGAATAATTCAAATATTATGCATTACAATCTCAAACATTAAACTTCTCAAGAAAGGTAAAGAAACTTAAAAAGCTTTGATTTAAAACATAGTCTCCAAATTTGAGTTTATAAACTTGTGTGTAAGATGAAAGACACACAATTTGGATTGCTCTCTT